CCAATGCAAGGTGAGATGAAGAGCTTGGCAATTAACTACAATCAAATAGATTGGAAAGAAAAGTTGGGAGAAAAAAAACAGAAGTACTATCTCATCACTGCTGCCTTAGTATGGGGGAGAAAGTGCCCAAACCATTTTTTTTTTATGTGACTTTTTTTTTAATGTGAACATCAATGTCCTTTTAGAAATCAAGAGACTAGACTTTGTCTCAAGAGATATTCCTCAAGAAAAAGAAAAGTTCTATCATTTCTGATTTTTAGATGACTGTTTTGTTACCTCTCTCCCACTAATTCTGACTCTGCACACATCTACCTAATAATATTTTTATGTCTCCGACTCTTCTTTAAATTAAAGTATACAATATTATATTGTTTCAGGTACACAGCATAGTGATTCGACATCTATATACCTTGTGAAGTGATCACCACAACAATTCTAGTAACCTTCTGTCAGCATACAAAGTTATTATATTATTGACTATCTCCCCTCTGCTGTACATGACATTGCCATGACATATTTATTCTATAACTGAATTGTGCCTCCTACTCTTGATAAGCCCCGTATTAATTTTTATGTCATCTTTATAAAGGTACAGGCAGAGGACAAGCTTTATAACTATGACTTTGGTAGAAAACTGCATGTGAACATCAACCAGTTCATCTAAAGGAACACAACACCCATGATTTGAAAGCAAAAACCTCTTCCTTCTTGGTTGTATTAATACACTTTGCTTTGAATTTGGCTACATTGTTAGGTCGTGTTCTTTAAGAAACAAGATTTGTTTACTGTTCAGTTTGAAATGTTCTTCCCATTACTAAAAATGAATGGGGTCAGATGAACCTGGAGAAGTGTGATATTCATATCACAGCTACTAAGGTTGTGTGGAGAAAATGAGATGACCTCAGGAATAAGTGCTCCTGAGATTAAAATTGTGGCAGGTACAGTGCTTGGCATCTATCTTAACAAGTGAAATGACTGCAACCTTTGCTTATATTAGACACTGGATTTCAGCAGATGGAGGAAAAAAAGAAAATATGTGAATGGATGGAGATAAAAAGATGGAGAACTGATAGTGCACCGAGAGGAGAGAATTCTCCCTCAGATCACTGAGAAATCAAGAGAGGAAAAATATGTATGTCAACACCATTTCTTCACTCCTTTCCCCAACTCTCTATGGCAACTCTAGTTATATAGTAACTCTTGCCCCTCGTCTTGCTTCATATATTGTTGGTGTTAGTAATGACTCCAAGAAAGAAGGCTGATGGTCAAGAATATCCCTTAAGAAATATTTTTCGTGTCATCATGTGTTGTCTAAATCATTTCAAACCAATTTGTCATTCCTGTTTTGAATCCCCAAGTACCCAACCCAGCAATTCAGGGCATCCCATTATAAAATATGGCATTAATTTTCAGAATAAAGATCCGTCAGAGAATAATTGGTAGTCCCTAGACCACAAACTGTTGACAAAGAAGTGAGATAAATATATCATATAGACAACAATGGGGAATAATTATGTTCATATAGTGATCATCTCCCCAGGTTATACCAAGATTTTAGATCTATACTAGTGTCACTGAATGGGCAAGGGAACTTAATTATAGTATTATGAATTGCACTCTCAGGAAACCAGTTTTGTCCACAAAATCTATACCCTAAGACCTCTGAGGATGGTATGTGCCAGCTGTCCCAGTCTTAGGGCAGCATCTGCTGGCTAATTCATGGATCAACCAAAAGTGGCAGTTTGTGGGCAATCTGAACAGTCCTTTCCGTGGAAGGGAACTGTTGCATTGGTTACTGAGAGGGTGTCTGGCATCCTTTCATGATGACCTAACTTAGGTCTCCAGGAGCTTGGCAAGTCTAGAACTTTCCCTGATGAGGTTCAGCAAGCATTTGTAAATATGTACCTTGGCCGGAACATAGAATAAGCTAGGTTGGCTCTGGAAACATCTGTAGAGCAATCTGAACCAAACTCTGAACTTTCTTTTAGTAGTAATAACCTGGTACCAATGAGGGCTCCAGTGAACATGGGTCCATATACAGAATTAGGAAGTAAAGCCTGTTTTCCATAAGGAAAGCATTTCTGGGGTGGGAGGGGGAAGGGAGCAGGACCTTGAAGTGGTTATTACATGCTCATGTTCTTTTGCTCGTAATCATTCTGTCGTGTACCTGAGGTTTTTACACATAAGGGAGCATGAATGACATTCAAATGTAGCACTTCTGATTGGCATACAGAAACTGGAAATAGGAAATGGCTTGGTGGTCTGAAACTTAAGAGCTATCCACCATCTTCTGCAGCATCTATCTGCTTCATCCTTGCAGTCAATAGCACGCGACAGCCAGAGCTTGTGACGCGGTTGGTGGGCTCCCCTTCGTGGGAACCCTAGGTGGAGAGTAAAATCGTGCTGATGGTGCCAAAACGACGAAACCTGAAATGCGTCTGGAGACTTCCCAGGGCACTTGCGCTCCTCAGAGCGACCGGCATCTCCATAACAACTGCTTTACAGTCATCCACGGTTCCTCTGCTCCGCTGTGCAAGAGCCGGCTGGAGGTAGGCAGGCAAAGGGCAGCTTCAGTGGAAAGATACCTTGGGTTAGCGCCTCCCTGGGCCGAGGAACGTTGCCAATGATGGACTTATACTTTGTTGCCTGAGATTTCCGGAGTGCTCCCCAGGTCTCCAGCAGAGTGAGACTCCCCTCTCTCGCCTTTACCTTTATTTTACACCCGGAGGGAGAAAGTAGTGATGCAAGGGGGTGGGAAGGTGGTTTGTTTTATAGTTCTTTTTTCTCCTTTAAGTTCATCTTTCCCTTCTAAGTTACTTTCTGCCAACACGTGACCTCTCTACTTCCTAGCCGGCGCAGCCACCGGTGGGGTAGCGCTGGTGCTAACCGCGGGGCTTCCTGGGAGGGCCCCCTCCCGCGGCTCCCAGTCCCAACCCTGGCTCCTCCAGCGCGCGGCTGCAGCTTCCCGCGGCGCTCACCTCGGCACCCTAGCTGACTGGGTGCCCTCGGATGATGCGGCAGCGACTCCAGGGAAGAGGGACCGAGCGGACGCGGAGCGCCGAGCCGCTGCGGTGGCACCCCTCCCTGCCTTTTCCTGCGGCTCCACGCTCCGCGGCGCGCTATGCCGACCAAGCTGCGCGCCGGGGCTGTTAACTCACATTCGAAAAGCCCTAGCCCATTAGAACAAACGCAGTCATAACTTCATTCAATTCAGCCGCTCTACAGCTCGGTTTACACAGGTTCCTGCGGGCAACTAGTGGCTCGCCCTGGTGCCTCTCGCCTAGTCATCAGTCCCTGAGACGGAAAGGGAAAGTCGCCGGGCTGATGCGCGCTTAGACGCACGTAGTTGTTCCCAAGGACAAGTCACTCACCCACACACCCCACCCCCTGCCGCCTAGCCCCCACCCCCACTTGATCATCACTCACGACCTCATCAGCTGGACCCTTAGTCATGATGGGGGAGGGGCAAGAACTTTTCTAAGAAGTTTCCCTTATATCAAGGGAGTCACAGTGAGTGGGTCACGTAAACAGCAGGGATAGTCAGTCGTCTTCCTTGCCGCCCCCTCGCCCCCGCCCCCTCCGTTTTACTGGTATTATTATTAAAGCGGTAGCCGCTGGCGCTCATAAGCAACAAGTTCCCCAGCGGTCTTCCCGCCCTAGCCTGACGAGGCGAAGGTTTTCTTACCTGGCGACAGAGAAATCTCCGGAGCCGAACTTAGCTTTGCCAGAGCCCCAGGTGTGACCTGAGCAGTGGGCAAGGAAGCGGTGTGAAGGCTGGGCTATTTTTATGAGGGCACCCTGAAACTCCTCACTTTCCCCGGGAACTTTCTGTACCAGGACCCAGTGACGGGCGGTTGGGAGGCAGCTCCAGGAACCAACCGCTATATAGCAGGGCAGTTGGGCAGTCATTGGTAACCTCGCTCATTCAATAGAATCACGTAAGAACTCAAAAGGAAACGTGTCTCTCGGAGTGAGGACGTTTGCGTAAATCTATAGGTTTTTCAACATCGATGCCAGTTGCTTTGTCTTCTTTAGTCGCCAAGGTGGTTGAGAGTTTAAGCTTGCGGATATTGCAAAGGGTTATTAGATTCATAAGTCACACCAAGTGGTGGGCGATCCACTGAGCAAAGCCGAACTTCTCACATGATGACTTCAAACAAGACACATTACCTTCCAGCATCTGTTGGGGAGACGGGATTTTAAGACACTTGAGTCTCCAGGACAGCAAAGGCACAATGGTGAGTAGCAATAAACCCTGCATTATAATTGAAATTTTTTTGACATGTTGCTTAACAACGGGGCATATCACAGCTCTTCCTAGCATTTCACATGCCAAAGAACAGCAGCTACTCAGGCCAGGAGAATCGGATTTTTTACACAGTGCAACTTTAATTGGAATCATTTGAGATTTAACACAGCAATGTGGAACTGCGTGGAACAAACTTGGAGCTGGAGAGGGGTGTGTGTGTGTGTGTGTGTGTGTGTGTGTGTTATATTGGCTGTTCAAAGCTGATGCTTCTCTCCCAGCCTTCCTGCATTTCATTCTTTGCCTCTATGTGTGTGGTGTATGAGCATATTCTATAATTTATATATGGGCATGTAATTGACATTCGCAAGGGGATTAATTTCCATCTAAAAACAATAATGCCATTAGAGGTTTGAATTGTGGTGGAGTGGGGGGTAAGGATGGGGTAGAGACTGGGAGTTTAGGTGCAAATGGGGCTGGGAATGGTGGGAGAGAAATGTCAGAAGAGCATATCACTGAAAATGAAACGGGTAATTCTCTCATAGAAGAAAAGGGTCTCATCAACATGTGATCAACTATTAACAGGATGGCTTTGGCAAAGCCGTCCGCACGTGACAAAACGTAAGGAAGTGGAAGAAACCGTCCAGAGCAATATCAAGTATCACTTAATTAGAGATTTTTTAGCCTTTTCCTCCTGCCTTCTCCGGGTGTGTGTAATCCAGGCGATCCGAGTCCATTCAGCACCTTGGACAGAGCCAACGGGTTTGTCCGAGGTGGGGGTACTCCACGAAGCCGTCTTGGCCCCGCAGTAAAGCCAGCCCCGTGTCGTCCTTAAGAAGCGTCTTTCTGAGGTTCAGCTCACACTGAGATTGGGGCTGAAGAGTCGGATTTTGGAGCGGAGCATTTGGAAAGCGAGCCCCAGTTTGGTCCCCTCATTGAGCTCGCTGAAGTTGGCTTCCTAGCGGTGTAGGCTGGAATAGACTCTTGGCAAGCTCCGGGTTGGTATACTGGGTTAACTTTGGGAAATGCAAGTGTTTATCTCCAGGATCTAGCCACCGGGGTGGTGTAAGCCGCAAAGAAGGTAAGCACCGGGGCGGGGACCCCCACAACCCCAATTCTTGAGCTATTTTGATACTCGATCTTCCCGAGAGGACGCCTGGTGGAGGGGAGGAGGTAGAAAGCTTGAGAGGGGGGTTGTTTCTTGGTATTTGCCCAGTTTGAATTGCCCTAGGTGAGAGCCTTGGGGTAAAGAGAGAAGGGGAAAAAAAGAGGTGCAGTCTTCTTGTGAATATGAGTTTAGTTAACTTGAACCTGCAAATGTCTGATTTCAAGTGTAAGATTTCTCTCTCTTTTTCTCCCCCTCATCTCCCTCTTTTCCGTTCTATTTTCCGGTGTGTGTGTGTGTGTGTGTGTGTGTACAGTAGATTCATTACTATTATGAAGCTTTTCCACAACATTCGGTTTTCTAAATTTTGACTTTGTACCATTTAGAATGAGGCGGTGGAGGTGGTGGTGTGCAGTAAGGAAAGAGGAGGTGGAGGTTGGGGAGAGGGTAGGAGGTAACGTTAAATTTCCAACACAAAATGAATCAAGGTAATTTCATCTCTTATAGTGAGAAGGATTCATTCTGTATCCCCCCTCCCTTCCTCCTTCCCTCCCCCCCCTTCTTGCACCCCGCCCCCTCCTCCTGTCTCCATCCCTTCCTCATTCTCTCTCTTCCTCTCCGTCGCCCTCAAGCCTCGCTGGATGTTTCTTTCTGGGTTTCTCCCCGCCCCCCTTCCCTCCCCACGAGTTTCGGGCGCTGCCTTAGAGGGCTCCCGCTTTCTCAAGGGAAAGGGAGCCGCGGAGACCGCGCTCCGCTACCCCGCCGGGCCGGATGCCTCACTGAGCCCAAGTCCGAGTCAGTCGGGGTAACTAAGGAAAGGGGGGAGCTCTGCTTGGGAGGAGAAGGTTCCTTCCCGGCCGAAGAGCCGGGGAGCGGGTCGGGGAGGGGGCCCGGGTGACTGGAGGCGGTGGAGAACACTCCGCTCCGCGGCTGGACAGAGCCACCAATCAGCTGGGCGCACAGACCGCCCAGCCACTGCGAGTTTGCTCCGGGAGGCGCAGGCCGAGGGCGGCCGGCTCGCCGTGGGGCTGCTGCTGCTGCCGCCGCCGCCGCACGGGTGGGCCGGGGGCGGGGGACATTGAAGCTGCTCAGGGCCTCCCAGCCTTCCGTTCCACCTCCCCCGCCTTGTCCCGGAGGGGACCGGAGCGGCTGGAGCGCGCATCGGCGTTGTCCTCCTGCCTCTCCTCTGGGAGCCCTGGGACTTGCGCGCCCCAGCACCGGGGCCACCAACCTCTCCACACCCCAACACTCAACCCACTCCTTTCCTGGGCCCTTTGTTCCGACCGCCAAGCCGAGTCCGGGCAGTTTTCGCCCCAAGGCTAGGGCGTTTTGGACTCCTCCTTCCTGGATCAGTTCTTCTTAATTAAGAGGCTAGAGCTTGGGGTGGGGGTGGGGGGAGCGTAGGGGAAAACCTATTTCCGAAACTCAAGACTTGACTCTTCTAGCGAGCCAAAGAAAGAATCCCCACTCTGCTCAGGTGGAATGGATGGATTCATAGGCAACGCGAGGATATTGTGTGGATTTAGAAGGCGGGGGAAAAACCCAAAAAACAAACAAACAAACAAAAAAAACAGGCACTAGGATCAGATGGCGGTGATAGGCTGCTCAGCACACAAAGAGAGCGTAGGGCAGGGTTTACGGAGCAAGCCTGCAGCGAATGGAGCACAGATTGTTCCGAGATCCAGTCGTTTTCTCAGTCAGATCTACGCGAAAGGAGGGGAGAGGAGGGGCAGGGAGGGGAGCGAGGCGGGAGGGGCTGGGCTTGGGGGCGGGGGGATTTCTGATCAGTCTGATGCAATTCCAAGCGTGCTGCAAAGGAACTCCAAGGAGTCCGCATCACCATCACCACCCACCCTTCCCAGATGGTGCTGTTTTAAATACGGATCTGCAGGGCTGAACGCAGAACTGGGAGATTTATTGCAAAATCCCGAGAAGGGGGGGGCACGGGGAATGGAGGGGCAGAATTTAAAGGTGCAACGCTTGCTTTTCCCCAATCAAGCGGCAACCAGTCGAATCTTTTTTTCTGTCTGCCTGTCTCTGAATTCTAATTCACCAGGGAAGAGGTGTAAATATTGTGACATTTTGAGGCGGCTTGATGGATGAGAAAAAAATCATCTGTCACTCTAAATTGTAGAGTTCCCTCTCCGCGAGATTCCTTACTAGCGAATAGTCGCTGCTGCCTAATACAGTTGCTAGGATTTCGAATGAATGCATCTTTAAGGGAGTATTATCCTTTTAGTTGACTTGCCAATTTATCTGACAGTGGAAGCGAGAAAATTGTAGATTTCACGTCTCTGGGAGACAAGGAGGGAAAATGCTTAACAGTCTAATTCTTTTAACCTCGAGATCTGTAACAACTTAAACAAATCTCAAAAGTGTCACGTCATCCTCTCACTCGCGCGCGCACACACGTCCTCGACTTGTGAGATGAAATGGTTTCACCTAAAGTGTCCTGGAAATGAATGTCACTTTAAGAATGGGCACCTGATAGCCACTGTTTATGTGTATTTACATAGAGCTCCTCAGCATTGGAGGCAAGATATTTCAATTATCCTGGTTGAAATCAGGCAGAAGATTAGAAGGTGATAAGGAGGACAGGGGAAGAAAGGGGGGAGGAGGGAGGGAGAGGAGATATTTTCAACCTATAAAAAATAACAGTAACCTAGCTTAGTTTTGTACCTCCTGGTCTTGCATATTTCTGTGTGTAAGATTTTAGCTTGGTCTAGCTCCCCCAATGGAATATATCAGTATTAATTCAGATGAAAATATATCCATCCTGCTTGTATCTTTTTCAGTGTCATTGATAGTAAGACCTACAACACAGCAATTTTTAGAGGGTTGAAGGGAATGTCTGAAAGGGCTTTGCAAAGTGGGAGGCAGATACTCTGTAAGTGGGAGGTATCACTATGACATTCTCTTTGCATTTTCATTTGATTGAACCAGAGTACTATTTTTAAATATCATCTAATTTGTATGCTCTAGGCAGTAAATGGGGATTTTAAAAACAAGTTGTTGTTTTTTATTGGCTTACAAAATATCATTTGTCAATTGCCTATCAATGTAAATTGAAAAGATGACCTTTAAAAGATCTAAAATCAGCATACATAAGCTTCTTCAGTCATTGGCCAGACTCTTTTCCTATCAAATCTCTAATCTAAATTCTCAATAGGAGAAGCTAGCGAATTTAGCTTCTTTCCTTTTCCTGGCCTGTCCTCTAGGGGAAGCTTTAGTAAGAAACAACATTCCCCAAATCAGGCAATGTGAGAGGCAAGGGCCCCAAGGGCCACAAAAACCAACAAAAAAGAATGAGAAAAAGTCAGCATTGAGGATGAGTTACAAAGGATTTTTATTTTTAATTCTGTTATTTGGGGACCAGGCTCCAACTCGCTCAGATAACATTCATTGGATCAAATTGCTTACAATCTGTCAGTTAAAATGATGTCTAACTGAACACATTTTTTTTTTTATAAAATATACTTCTACCAAATGCCACTGAAGCTAATCTTTGCTTTTAATTAGGACAGACTAATCTAACCATTTAAATGATTCTAACGAATGTGAACTGATATCATCTGATTTTAAAATTTTGCTTGAAACCAAATTTGTTCTAAAAGCACTGACTTGCCAGAAAAATATCTATTTTCGTAGCTTTCTCTTCACTCTTTGGATAATTTAATGAGTTGCCTATTTTAATTTTACAACTGCTACCTCAGAAGTGTCTCAAATTATCTTTCTTTGGCTGGTATCTTTCTCTGCTGATCTGTTACTGGTGTGTGTGTGCGCGCACGTTTGTCTCTGTGTTTTCTAGTGGATTTAACACTAGTTAGTCTCTTAAATGTATATGCCATAATCTATGTAAAGAACAGGGAGTGGTACTTAATATATGCAAATAAACATTAACATTTAGTGAGAGCTTACTATTTATTGAATTTTATGGAAATGAAGGGGGGGCTTTAATGGGACAAAAATTAAATTCTTGAACAATAAAAAAAAAAAACTTTCTTCCCCCCTTTGGCTTAAGAGTAACTATAATTTTTTAAAAATGAAACCTTTCTTTTTTTTTACATTTCTTGAATAAGATACCCATGTTCCATAGAGACTAACAACCCAACACTCCACAGTGCAAAAATCAAAATGTTAATTCTTTCTCTCTGCTTTCCTTCTCATTTGGCAATTTCTGGAGTGTTCATTCTGAATTTCTAAAAGTTCAGATTGACTTTATTTTTCTCTCTCTCTTTTTCTAACATTCTAAAAGAGTCCTGTAAAGAATTCCATTATAATGCGGACTTTATTTGTACTTCCTAGTAATAGTAGTTTATATGCATAAAGTGCTTTGAAAGCTCTTTACAGATTTCCTTATTTGATGCCTTCAGCAATTGTGGGTGGCAGGAATCATCACTCACCTTTTTCACAGATGAGACATTGAGGTTCAGAGTTGCCCAAGAACATATTTGTCAGTAAGAGGTGAAGACTGACTTGGAATCGGTTTCTTCAAATTTTAAGGACTATGCTTGTACCTTTCTAGACCACAATGTCTCAAACCCCATTCAGGCACCTAAGGGGTTGTAGGCATTATTTCTTCCTATTCTGATTTCTTTAAAAAAAGTTTTAAGTGATCTACAAATAGTTTCCAAAACTTTGCAGGACTAAATGAAAAGTTTTTACCAGCCTAGCATCTTCCCTTCCTAAGTGATTCTTTCACTCTCCCACACTTAGAGACTCCAAGAAGGTAGTAATCTTCTTGGAGCTGACACACCATCTAAGGCGCTGTCACTCATTCTCCCCAAAACAACACAGGAAGAGCCAAAGCCAAGAAGCACTTTACTTTTACTTTGAGTCATAGAATTTTGAGGGCTGGGAAGGTTCTCAGAGGTCACTGCCCCACCCATATCTGATGCATGAATTCGTGCTGGCTTGTTTTCTTCCAACCCTCTGGAATTTCCAGTCTTAGATGCCTGGGATCTCGTTTATCTTGG